GGGCAACGGCCCCCCCCCCCCCCCTCCCCGGCCCGGGCCTCCCCTCGCACCCCCGAGGGCCTCCCGGGCTCCGCCGAACCCTCTTAGATCCCCTCACACCCCCTCAGGTTCCCTCAGGATCCTTCAAAGCCCCTCAGATCTTTTCCGCCCCCCTCAAAATCCCTCAGGCTCTCTCAGAATCCCTCAGACCCCCTCACACTCCCTCAGACCCCCTCGCAGTCCCTCAGACCCCCTCGCGCTCCCTCAGACTCCCTCACGCTCCCTCAGACCCCGTTAGATCCTCTCAGCCTCCCTCAAAACCCTTCAGCTCCCTTCAAAGTCCCTCAGGCTCCCTCAGACACCCTCACACTTCCTCAAAGCCCTTCAGATTCCCCTTCAGGACCTCTCCAAACCTCCCACACCCTCTCAGACCTTCTCAAACCCTTTCAGACCCCCTCAGGTTTCCTCACACCTGCTGAAACCCCCTCAGGTTCCCTCAGGATCCTTCAAACCCCCTCAGATCTTTTCTGCCCCCCTCAAAATCCCTCGGGCTCTCTCAGAATCCCTCAGACCCCCTCACACTCCCTCAGACCCCTTTAGATCCTCTCAAACTCCCTCAAAACCCTTCAGCCCCCTTCAAAGTCCCTCAGGCTCCCTCAGACACCCTCACACTTCCTCAGAGCCCCTCAGATTCCCCTTCAGGACCTCCAAACCTCTCACACCCTCTCACACCTTCTCAAACCCCTTCAGCCCCCTTCAAAGTCCCTCAGGCTCCCTCAGACACCCTCACACTTCCTCAGAACCCCTCAGATTCCCCTTCAGGACCTCCAAACCTCTCACACCCTCTCAAACCCCTTGAGACCCCCTCAGTTTTCCTCACACCCCCTCAGATCCCCTCAGGACCTCTCACACCCTCTCACACCTTCTCAAACCCCTTCAGACCCCCTCAGGTTTCCTCACACCCCCTCAGATCCCCTCAGGACCTCTCACACCCTCTCACACCTTCTCAAACCCCCTCAGATCCCCACAGACCCCCTCAGATCCCCAGCCTTGGGGCTCACCCTGCCCTTCCCTGCACACCAGAGGTGGCAGGAGGGTTATGTGTGCTGCAGGACAGAAGGGACAGCTGTGGGGACAGCAAGGGGACACGGGTCACTGCAGTCCCTCCTTCTCCAACCTTTGGTTTAACCTGCTCTTCCCGGTGCTGTTTTCATCCAGGAGAATGTGGAGTTGCTCATCCAGGAACTGAGGAGGCCAAAGTACAGCATCTATTTCATTTGTGAGTGTGTCAGAAAATACAGATGCTGGGACTGGTCCCACTGAAACCCTGGGAGTGTGTGAACTGAAGTTCTGATGCCCTTGAGGTGACCAAATTCTTTTAGCAAAGGGTACAAATCATGAAACTGAAGTAACTCCTGAGAGATCATTACAAAGCAGCACCATAAAGCTGCATTCCTCTGCCATCCCTGAACATTTCTGGGATTTGAAAGCTTTTGTGTTGCTAGATAAACATGAAAGAAGGATGATACTTTGGGGGGAGGAAAACTTGAGGTGCAGAGGGGGAGAAACTGGCCCAGATGTTGGAGGTAAATGATTCAGAGCCAGGGACAGGACAGACTTGATATCCCAGCGTTGGGCTGAACCTGCTGCCTGGCATCTTCTCAGGCAGGTGTTGCTGCTCTTGCCAGAGAATATCCTGTAGTTTTGGGAATTCAAGGAGTTTAACTGGAGCTGCTTTGGTGCTGGAAGCAGGGAGGCTCTGGGAAGGGAAGTGTCTGGGTGTCGTTGTGTGGAAGCGACTCTAGATGTCATCGCTGCTCTGCAGGAATGTGGTGGTGCCTGGGAATGCTGAGGATGTGGCTGTTACAGCCCTTTAATATTCCTTGCTTTTGACATGTTAAAAATCTCCTGGTTACCATGAGGTGTTGCTGAATTGGGCAGATGTTGGGCCAGGGAGAGGGCAGGAGACAACCAGGTGTCCCTCAGGGTGTTGAATCCATTGCCAGCTGTTCTGTGCTGATCCAGTGGGTGTTTGATGTTCTGTCCAGCAGGAAGTTGCAGAGGGAAGTAGCTCAGAGTGTCCATCTGAGGTGACTTCTGGGTTAGAATGTCTGCAGAACAGCTGCAGGTGTTGGGTGAAGGGATCTCAGTTGTCCTCTGCTCCAGGGAAGTGTTTGGTTGTGCTGTTCTGTCACCTTCTGGTGAGTTCCTGTCCCTCAGAGCCCGATGTTCCTTTGCTGTTGTCTTCTTTTCAGATTTCAGTAACGTGATCAGTAAGAGTGATGTCAAATCTCTGGCTGAGGCTGATGAGCAGGAAGTTGTGGCTGAAGTTCAGGTGAGTTTTGCATCTTTTCAGTTCTTCTGCTCCAACATCACCAGCCCAGGGAGGGAACAAAATCAGGAGGACCCTCTTTCTTGACCAGCCTGCAGCAGCACTGTGCAAGAGATGGAGAAAAAGATGAAAAAGATTTAAAAAAGAAGAAGATTAAAACCTCCTGGCTGATGCTGGGACACTTGGTAGGGTGGGTAAGGACCTGGAAGTGTCTTTGCTTCCCTCTTGGCAGGAGTTCTACGGCGATTACATCGCGGTGAATCCACACGTGTTCTCTCTCAACCTCCTGGGCTGCTGCCAGGTATGAGCAAAGCTCCTCCAGGGCCTGGAGAGGTGGTCAGTGGGGAGACCAGGGGCTGCAAGAAGCTGGGTGGGGTGGTGGGTGGGTGTGGAGGGTCTGTCAAGGGGGTGGATGATCCTTGGAAGGAGGGGAACCCTGGAAAATCCAGATGGGGGCCTTTGTGCTGCTCCTCCAGTTGTTTAATGCAAGGTTTTAAGACTTAGAAAGAAACCTGTGAGAAGGAGTCTGGGGACAGATGGTGATGGGCAGGTTGGATGAGGTTTTGTGCAGCCTGGGCTGGTGGGAGGTGTCCCTGCTCATGGCAAGGAGGTTGGAACTCGATGATCTTGAAGGTCTTTGCCAAGCTCAAGGATTCCATGATGATTCCATGCAGCTTTTCCTGGCAGGGTCGCAGCTGGGATCCTGCTCACCTCTCCAGGACAACCCAAGGCCTGACTGCCCTGCTCCTGTCCCTGAAGAAATGCCCCATGATTCGGTACCAGCTCTCCTCAGAGCCAGCCAAGAGGCTTGCTGAGTGTGTCAAGGTGAGGACCCTCAGCCATGGAGAACACACGTGGCCTTTCACCAGCTCTTCCTTCACCTCTATGGATGGTCATTAAGGTTTCTTTCAACCAAGGGGATTCTGTATCACACCGAATTGTTCTGGCTGGAAAAGATCAGAGTCATGGGATGGGTTGGGTTGGAGGGACCTTCAAGAGCAGTTGCCACCCCCCCCCTGCATAGGCAGGGACACCTCCCAGCAGCCCAGGCTGCTCCAAGCCCCATCCAACCTGCCCTTCAACACCCCCAGGGATGGGGCAGCCACAGCTTCCCTGGGCAACCTGGCCCAGGCTCTCCCCACCCTCACACTCCACAATTCCCTCCTCAGCTCCAACCTCCAGCTCCCTCTCCCACTTTTCATCCCTCCCCCTCATCCCATCCCTCCCTGCCCTTGGCCCAAGTCCCTCCCCAGCTTTCCTGGAGCCCCTTCAGGCCCTGGAAGCTGCTCTAAGGTCTCCCTGGAGCCTTCTCCTCTCCAGGCTAAACACCCCAACCCTCCCAACCTGGAAACCAATGCAGATCTTTAAGAAAGAGGGGACATTTCTAGGTACACGTGAGATCCAAGTAGGTGTTTTTCCCTCTCTCCCCAGCAAGTCATCACCAAGGAGTATGAGCTCTTCGACTTCCGGCGCACGGAGGTTCCTCCTCTGCTGCTCATTCTGGACCGTTCCGACGATGCCATCACCCCTCTCCTCAACCAGGTGAATCCTCTGGTGGGTTTGTGAGGGCTGAGGTGGGAATGGGGATTCCTGGAAGTGCCTTAGACACAGATCAGCAAGGCTACCTTGTCTGGATGGTGGTGGTACAGGAGCAGGTGGGGATCCTGGTATTATTGGAGTGATCGGAGAGTCCAGGGCTTGGACTTGGAGTTAAGGACTGAACAGAAGGCACCAAATCTGCTCTCTGGAGGTTTTCTATCCAGAAGAGAGATCCAAAGGAATGTCAGTGGAACGTGGGGTGTTTTGGGGCCCTGCTCTGCTTTCAGTGTTCTGTCTTGAAGCAACCTGGGCTGGTGGGAGGTGTCCCTGCCCATGCAGGGGGGTTGGATCTAGATGATCTTGAAGGTCCCACCAACCCAAACCATCTCATGATTTCCCTGTGCTGTTTGTCACCTGGCTGAGGTCATTCCTTGCCTTCCTCTTCCCCACCCCTGCAGTGGACCTACCAGGCCATGGTCCATGAGCTGCTGGGGATCAACAACAACCGCATCGACCTGTCCCGGGTGCCAGGGATCAGCAAGGACCTCCGGGAGGTCGTCCTGTCTGCTGAGAACGACGAGTTCTACGCCAACGTAGGTATTCCCAGCAGGATCTTCCCAAGCTGCTGGATTTGGGGATCAGCTCTTGGCTTTGCCATGTGGCAAAGCAGGTTGTGACCAGCAGGTTGTGACCAGCGGGTCAGGAGAGGTGATTCTCATCCTCTACTCTGTGGTTTTGAGAGGCCACCTGGAGAACTGGGTCCAGTTCTGGGGCTCTCAACACAGGAAGGACATGGAGCTGTTGGAGAGAGTCCAGAGGAGGCCCCGGAGATGCTGGGAGGGCTGGAGCAGCTCTGGAGCCAGGCTGGGAGAGTTGGGGTGTTGAGCCTGGAGAGGAGAAGGCTCCAGGGAGACCTTAGAGCAGCTTCCAGGGCCTGAAGGGGCTCCAGGAAAGCTGGGGAGGGACTTGGGACCTGCTGCCTGACTTCTGCACGTGGTGAAAATCAGATTGTAGTGGAAGGAACATCTGACATGAAAGTGCCTGGTTTATAGTTTGAAATAAAAGCTGGACCAATGGCAGAGCTGTTGTTTGAGGTTGGGGCTCAGGGAGATGTGTGTTGGGCACAGAGACCACCTTGTTCTCCTGGCATCAAGACTGTCCCTCAGCTCCTTGTCTTGTCCCCTGCAGAACATGTACCTGAACTTTGCAGAGATTGGCAGCAACATCAAGAACCTCATGGAGGATTTCCAGAGGAGGAAACCTAAGGAGCAGCAGAAGCTGGAATCCATAGCAGATATGAAGGTACAGATGCTCTACACGTGACTGGGCTTTTCAAAGCCAGGGTGGTGCAGGTCACACTGGCTGGACACGGACACTCAACACCTCCAGTTCCACCAGTCTCTGTGGTGTGCTGGTTTTGTGGAGCAGGAGCCTCCTTTTTGCCCTGTGTTCACTCTTCACACAAGGCTGCTCTGGACCTCTGCAGTGTGCTCCTCAGGCTTCTTTGTTCCAGCTGCTCCCAAAGCTCCTGCCTGGAGCTCCCTGAGATCCTGGAGCCCCAGGATTGAGGCTGGTTTGAGCGCTGGGCTGATCCTGACACTGCCTTGATAATTGGAGCAGCTCAGAGCACAGGCACAGCTGCTGCTCAAGATGTAAAGAATCCTGATAACACCTTGGGAGATATTTTCTCTCTCCCTCTACCTGAAGAGTCAATACAAAGTAAAATCCTCTTCCAGAACTGGAGAAACCCTGTGGCCTCCTGGGATGGAGACACCAGGTCGCCCGTCCACCCACGTCGCTCTGGCTTAGATCAGTGCAGACTCTTTCACACTGTTGCTGGCTGGGTTGCACACCTCTGCTGTCTCCTGTTGTCGGGTTGAACAACCCTCAAGGCTTTGTTTTCCCCTTTTTGTAGGCATTTGTGGAGAATTACCCCCAGTTCAAGAAGATGTCGGGCACGGTGGCGAAGCACGTGACGGTGGTGGGGGAGCTGTCCCGCTTGGTCGCCGAGCGGAACCTGCTGGAGGTGTCAGAGGTGGAGCAGGAGCTGGCCTGCCAGAACGACCACTCCAGTGCCCTCCAGGTACCTCAGGCTCTCAATCCAACCTTAATCCTTGAAATCCAGATCCTGTCATTGATGCTAGAAGTCGGTGGGAGTTGTGCCTTGTAGATAATCCTGACCATTAGATGGTGGAATCTCTCTCTGCTCCCTGCTCGGCTCAGATGGGGATGAATCATCATTAATCACCAGCTTGAGAAGCATCTTTTGCAAATTCTGCCTTTACATTCCACCAAGCAACATTCCTTCTTTGTCCACAGCCAGTTGGTTCCTGGCAAACTGCCCGGGAAGGCACCAGGATAAAAAAAAAAACCCCACAACAAAACCAACCACCCCAAACTTGGCCCCTTCTGCATGAGGCTTCTTGTTATTTGTCAGGGAGAAAAAGAAATGTAATCCCTGAAAACTAAACCAGACTATTCCTGAGGTGCTGGCTTCTAACTTTCCATTTTGAAATCAAAAAGAGTAGAAAGCCTCTTAGAGAAAAGATTCCTGAGGGAAGGAGGGCTGAAAAAGCCTAAGAGAAGCTTCTGTTTTAGCTGAGTAGAGGTTGAAGTTCTGCCCCCAAGCTGGTTTGGTGGGTTCCATGACCTGCCCTGGCATCTGACAGTGTCACTAGTGACAAATGTGGCTGCTTGGAGGGAAAAGAGGAGCATTGTTGGTGGGGATGAGGAGAGCAGGGCTCAACCAGCCACTCTGGATGAAAAACCTGCATTTTTTAGAGCTAAGGTAGAAGTTACACCCTAGGATGGAGTTTTTTTACACAGCACTGGGAAGCAGTTTGGCTAGAAAATAATTCTAAGCATCTGAGGTCTTCTTTGCCTCATTCTGTGCTCCAAGTGGGTGGCTGGGGGATAATATTAGACTGCTGAAGTGCTGCAGTTTGTTACCAGCTCTGGAGGTTGTTGAGTGGATAGATCTGATTCCAGAGCTTGTATCTGGTGGATATTCCAGAATGTAGATGACTTTTGAGTCTTGGAAGTGGGAATGTGGCCACAAAATGGCTTTGGTGAGAACAGCCTCTTGAGGTTCTCTTGCTAGATGGTGGAATCCAGATCAGGCTTTTGGAGCTTAAAAGTCAAATGTTTTGAGCTGTCATCGTGTCTGTTCTGTGACCTGTTGTGATGTTCAGCCAGGGCAGGGCAGTGGTGCTGGAACCTGGGTGCTTGGCACTGGAAACCACTTTGGAAAATGCTGGTTTGCTTCTTCTTAAGTGGTCTCAGATTGGTTGGAGAAAAGGGATGAGGTGAAATTTCAGTGTCTGAAGAGCCTTTTCCTTTCAGAATCTGTGATGTCTTTTCATTCCAGTGCTTGAAGGGGCTCCAGGAAAGCTGGGGAGGGACTTGGGACAAGAGCAGGGAGTGAGAGGACAAGGGGGAATGGTTTTAAACTGGAAAAGGGTGGGTTTAGGCTTGACATTAGGAAGAAATTTTTCACTGTGAGGGTGGGGAGACCCTGGAACAGGTTGCCCAGGGAAGCTGTGGCTGCCCCATCCCTGGGGGTGTTGAAGGGCAGGTTGGATGGGGCTTGGAGCAGCCTGGGCTGGTGGGAGGTGTCCCTGCCCATGCAGGGGGTTGGATCTGGATGATCTTTAAGATCCCTCCAACCCAAACCATTCTGGGATTCCATGACCTGCTGGTGATGACCCAGTTGTGTCACCAGCTCTAGGGTCTCCAGGGCGTGTGACAGTGCTGGGAACTGGGCAGAGACACAATCAGCTGAGCCCTGGGGCTCCACTTGGTGCTCACTCAGGTCTCACTCTGCCCCAGATGGGTGTTTCTGCAGCTCTGGAGCAGAGAAGCCACAGGCCCGAGGGGCTGGGATGGATCCCACAGCTGAGACCGACTGGAAAACATGTTGAAGTTGGTAAAGAAATGGCAGAGCAGGGAGCAGGGATCTTCCTCCATGGGCCATGGGTGTCTGTGGAGCTGCAGGGCTTGTTCCCTGGCACAGTCCCAACCTGGCAGCTTGAGGCCAAGGCCACAGGGACAATGAACGAGGCCGTGCCCAGAATAAAGGCAGGATTGTTCTCCTTCTGATGTCACTTCAGCAATTGGGAATTTCTCCGTGGCCCAGGGCCCCCAGTCCAGTACATTTTGGTTGTTCTTCCCCTGGTCTCTTATTAACCCTGACATTGTCCATGAGCCTGGAGAGCTGAATGGGAGGGATTCAATCCCAGACCCTGGGATGGACAAAGGCTTTTCTGTCTCCCTTCCTGGGCACTGCCAGCACAGGATCAAAAATGTCCCAAGCCAACATCTCCCTGGGACTCAGTCCCTCCTCTCAGGTGAATCCCCAACCTCACCAAGGTTAAAACTCCTCTTGACCTTCCTCAAAGCCAGGATTTTCTCCTGGAGTTTTGGAACCAGTCAAACAAATGACAGCAAATCCAGCCGAGTCGGCACGGGGAGGAGTGAGTTTCACAGCAGCCTTTGGCAGCTGTTGGCTGAATGTTTCCATGTTGCCCACCTGTACTGGTGGGAGAATCCTGCAAAGATATTCTGGGATTTTTGGAGTGTTTGGAAGTCATGCTCAGTGAGTGGAAAAATCCCAACTGGTTCCCTCCCTCTCCTGGAATTGCTGTTTCTGCAGCTGAGCAGCCGGTGGCTCCGCTGCTCCCTGGAGCTGGTAGAGCTGGTCCCTTCACTGTCATGCCCAGCACAGGGGGAACTTCAGACTTTGCCAGATGTCTCAGATACATCTGGTGGTCCATGCCTGGTCTTTGAGATCCATGAGGTTCTTATCTCCTGGTCACCTCAGCCACCAGCTCAGCTCTGGTGTTTGCCCTGGGAACCCCAGCTGCTCTGCATGAGGTGGTTGTGGAGAAGGGAAGAGAAGCTTTTTGTTGCCCTGGGAAGGAGAAGCCCTTCTGTGGCCAGTCATCCATCACACAGCAGCCCCTGGGGGGTAGGTGACATTCCCTGGGGGTCCTGCAGCTTTCCTGGAAAGGGTCTGTCCTTTAACAGGGGCGTGGACCTGTGATATTTATGATGATCTCGTGTTCCCTTCAGCAGAAAAAGTAACAATCTGAATATTAGGAGCAACAACTGCAGATTTCTCCCTTCCATATTTCTGTTCCTTTTCCTGCTTTAATTTCTTTCCTCCCAATACTTGCTCCTCTGCTTCTCAGGCTGCCCAGGGGTTGGTGGAGTCCCCATCCCTGGAGGGGTTTCAGAGCCATGTAGATGTGGTGCTGAGGGACATGGGTTAGCACTGGGCTGGGTAGAGTTGGGTTCATGGTTGGTAGAGTTGGGTTCATGGTTGGTAGATTTGGGTTATGGTTGGTAGAGTTGGATTAATGGTCAGTAGAGTTGGGTCAGTGGTCAGTAGAGTTGGGTTATGGTTGGTAGAGTTGGGTCAGTGGTCGGTAGAGTTGGGTTATGGTTGGTAGAGTTGGCTTAATGGTTGGACTCCATGATCTTAAATGTCTTTTCCAACCAGAAGGATTCTGTGATTCTCACATCCAAATGATCTGAGCCCTTGGTGCTTCTGCCCTGCACCTTCAATAGGAAAACAGAATTGGTGTCACTGTCCTGACCCTTTTTTCTTGCTGGTTGGTACGATGATGGAACCTCTGGGCCAGTCTTGGCTCTGCTTCTCTTGGAAAGGGAAGGGGGGGGCGCTCAGGGTTTCTGTATGTACCTGAGCTCACCCACAGCATCTTCTGGAGAGTTAAATGGACAAGAGGATTGGGTTAGGAATTCCTGAGAAGACTCCAGAGCAACTTCTCCTCCCATAAACCTGATGGCAGAGCCCCGGGAAGCCCAGCCCTGTTGCTTAGGACCCAACTGACCCTCTTGCCTTTTCCTCCTGCAGGCACTTCAGTTGCTGGCACAGGGTTGGTGTCAACCTGGTGTCCTCTGGAGGCTTCTCCACTAACGTGTGTCCTGCTCTGGCTGCAGAACGTGCGGCGGCTGCTGCAGAGCCCGCGGGTGGCGGAGCTGGACGCGGCGCGGCTGGTGATGCTCTACGCGCTGCACTACGAGCGGCACAGCAGCAGCGCCCTGCCCGGCCTGCTGGGGGAGCTGCGCGGCAGGGGGGTGCCCGACAGGCTCCGCAAGGTAACCCTGAGCCCTGGGCTCGTGGGCTGGGGGGGATGGAGGGACCTTCAGGATCATCTAGATCCACCCCCCTGCATGGGCAGGGACACCTCCCACCAGCCCAGGTTGCTCCAAGCCCCATCCAACCTGCCCTTCAACACCCCC